ACGCTGAACCTTACCTAAACAACTAGCCGAAGGAGATTAGATTTTGGCGCGCACAGAGAGATGTAAGCGCCAGTTGCTCGACATACCTGCGCGGCCTGTGCGACGAAACAACTTCATGGGATTGGCAAAGTTTCAGTACCAGCAAATTATATAAAAAATCTAGAAAGATTTCAGCTTACATCTCGTCTATCGTTTAAAGCGGCCTATTAACGCCTGCAACCATGATGTTTTCTACGAACCTCGCAAACTTTTAAACACGTTCTCTTGTGATACCTGCGAAAGTATTTAATTTGATCGATTTCTCTTACATTGTGTGCTGAGACTGAAACCTTTCACCTCGAGCAAAGCTCCGTCGCACGGCGCAATCAAACATGGCGAGCAACTGAGCCTCTTGCATATTTCCGTGTTAAAACACACGAAAGGACTCTAAAGCATACTTCACTCTTATTGGACAGAAAAACACACAGATTTTCTGGCACCAATCAGATGCCAGAACGACTGCGACCGTTTGGAACTAGTCTTGTAAGACAACGTCCCCAGGGGCTCTTCCGCCGTAACTTGAAATCGACTCACAGTCCCTGGGTCTCCGAGGATGAAGCGTCACAGACTATTTATCTAACAACGGCCTTCAGTCGGTGAGGATCGAAGATCACCTTCAATTTTTCGGCTGGTAATGACAGTTATCCTTTTTCCACTCGGCTCCTTGGACCATTTCGATGTAAGCTACGTTTACCTTGCAGCTTCTTGTTCATGCTATGTTGGATTGCGGTTCAAGATCTTGTAAGTGCACAAGACTGCTGAATGCTGTTTTTTATTGCCTATCAGTAATACTTTAAGCAGATAAAACAGAAGAAATCAGAAGTTCCTGGAAAAAGATGTTCGGCTATTTGACATGATTTCTAAAAACCTAAATGTTATTTCTTGCTTGAATAGGTATGACCAGTGGGCATTATGGAATTGACTCTAGCGATCACATCCAGACTCTCCCCGATTCTGGTAAGAATAATGACGAACTGATATGTTATGAGACTATTTATCCGAAGAGAAAGTAACATTTTATTCGCTTCTGTATGACATTTACGAATCCTTCACTTACGCGGAGGTAACTTGATCCAGCCCTTAAACTGACTTTGGTTTAAGATATGTTTTAAGGTCATTAGTTGACTGTTTTCTCTTCTGAATTCCTGACTGCAGATAGATTGGCTCAAGTCAATCAGTATCGCCTCTGTTGTGGTTTATGGATTAGCTCTGGACTATATATTGTCTTTGGGTCTCGATAGTTATTACTACTCTCAAAGCTCAGAAAATCACTGCGAAAGTCATAGGTAGAATTGTCTCACGTGCTGTAACTATCATATTTACAATCTCTGAGATCATTCTCAGTGTGGCAGTTGCTCGGAGGAGTGATACTGGGCGTCAGTCGCCGCAGGCTAATCAGATATGTTATGTTATGTTACCTAGGATAAAATTGGGCATTGAGGTCAGTTAGTCATTCAATTGGCCAGTTAGTCAGTTAGTTAATCCAC